TCTTTGCTTGAAGACATCTGATCAAGGGAACCCACTCCCTTCCCAGCCAGCCCATTCCATCTTGGGATTACTCTAATTATTAGGAAGTTTTTCCAGACATCAAGCCTAAATCTGCCCCCTTGCGTCTTCCACCCACTACTTCTTGTTCTGGAGCCAAGTAGAACTAGTTGAATCCCTCCCCCACACCCTTTAAATATTTGAAGACAGTTTCTTGCCCTTCCTGAGCTCCTCCCTCACATGCCAGAAACTCAAGGTCCTTCATCACTACCCTACTTGACCTCCTCTGACCACTCTTGACCCACTTATTAACGTCCTGCCTAAAGCATGACGCCCCGAATCAAACATGAGATTCCCTATTTGTCTCACCAGAGCAGACTACAGTAGGACTAATTAACAACAAAAATAACTAATAATAACTAGCATTTATATAATGCTTTACATTTTACAAAGTCCATGAATGTTACCTCATTTGATCCTCTCAACAGCCCTGAGTCCTTCCTCTGAGGGTCAGGTGCTGTGAGATAGGTACTATAATAATAATAACATTTATATGTGTGTGTGTGTGTGTGTTTAATTTAGTATATGTAGATATAAATACATGATTGTATAAAATATAATTTAAAAAAACAAAAAATTATAACCATTTTATAACAACATAATAATATGATAAAATAGAAATATATAATTATGTAATTATATAAAATATATAATATAAAATAAGTATCTATTTAATAGTATTTAAAAATGAGTTTAGGGTTTGCAAAGTGCTTTACAAATATTATTTCATTTAATCCTCACAACTCCCTTGGGAAATAGAGGCTATTGTTATCCTCATTTTACAGATGAGGAAACTGAGGCAAGCAGGGGTTAAGTGACTTGCCCACCATTTAGTAATTGAATGAAACTGAATTTGAACTTGGGAGCTCTGGGCCTGAAATCAGGAAGACCTGAGTTCAAATCTGGTGTCAGTACTTATGAGCTTTGTGATCCTGGGCAAGTCACTTAACCTCTTTGCCTCAGTTTCCTCATCTGTAAAATGAGGATAAGTAATAGCACCTACTCAGGCACAGTGCCTGGCACATAATAATCACTGGATAAATGCTAGCTATTATCATTATTTTTCAAATCCAATCTCAGATACTTACGAGCTGTGAGACCTTGGGCAAGTCACTTAACCTCTGCTCGCCTCAATTTCCTCATCTGTGAACTGGGGATACTAATAGCATCTATCTCTCAGGGTCGTTGTGAGGATCAAATGAAAAAGTAATCATAGGTCACTTAGCACATAGCACATAGCAAGCGCTATGTAAATGTGAGCTGTTATTATTATTATTATCATTATTCCCGACTCCAGGTCCTGTGTTCTATCCACTGAATCACCCAGCTGCCTATGAGATAAGGAAAGAGGCCCAGGGACTTTTGTGACTTGCCTTGTGCCATACAGGTGGCAGATCTGAGAACAAAACTTGGGCCTCCTGACTCCCAGGACCAAGTCATTCTTGTCCTGAAAGTGCATGTCTTCTCCCTGTGTGACCTTGGGCGAGTCACTCAACCAGATGAACTGGTGCCTAAGTCTTGGATTCAATATGCACTCCTCCTAGAATGGTGCCAAGATATAACACTCGTTTATAAACTGTTTCTTGCCAGCTTTAGAAAAGAAATTCTGAAAGTCTGCTGTTTTGGATGCTGGAAATATGAATTTTAGATCGCTCTAAATCTCAGAAATGGGCAGCTAGGTGGCTAAGTAAGCATTTTACAAATGTTATCTCATTTGATATTACTACTTTTTCAGGCAGCTTTTGAAACTTTTTTTCCCCCTTTTTTAAGGCAACTGGGGTTAAGTGACTTGCCTAGGATCACACAGTAAGTGTCAAATGTTTGGTCCAAGACACATTTGAACTCAGGTCCTCCTGACTTCAGGGCCAGCGCTCTATCCACTGCGCCACCTAGCTGCCCCTCATTCCACTTTTGGAAAGCTCTAATTGTTTAAAGCTAGGTGGCAGCTGGGTGGTACAGTGGATAGAGTGCCTGGCCTGGAGTCAAGAAGACTCATCTTCCTGAGTTCAAATCTGGCCTCAGACACTTACTAGCTGTGTGACCCTGGGCAAGTCATTTAACCCTGATTGCCTTGGTTTCCTCATCTGTAAAATGAGCTGGAGAAGGAAATAGTAAACCACTCCAGGATCTCTGCCAAGAAAACTCCAAATGGTGTCAAGAAGAATCAGATATGACTGAAAGACAACAAAACTACAAGAAATCTCTGATCCTCTTAAGTGGGGAGCGATGCTTTTAACTGGACTGTTCTATGGAATTCTCCTTAGGAAATACAGTAGCCAAAGGCACCGAAAGAAACAGTCTAGGCAATCCAGAAGCATTTATTGAGCATCTAGGCACTATATAAACACCAAAGATACAAAGAGAAGCAAAAAAAAATGGCCCTGTCCTCAAGGAGCTCACAATCTAATAGTGAGTTTCCCTGTCACCCAGCATACTGGGTGCACTCTGAGAGAATTGGAACTCAGGCATCCCTGTCTGCTGAGCTCAGAGAGTCTGGCTCCAGAATGAAGTGGGGTGGGCGCTGGAGTAGGAGGATTTCTGGGCTATTTCTCTTGCTGGTTCTAGGATGTCACTGCCCTAGTCTTGGATGGGAGTTAGAAGCCATTCTGCACTGAAGGGAAGCTGTGGAAAATTGCCAAGGAGGTAGAGACAAGGACTGGAAGCTTGAGGGGTGTGGGGTAACCTGCCCTGGAAAGACAGTCTCCCTAATTACTCCACTCCCAAAGGCCCCACTCGGGAGATTTCAATCTCGTTTGGAAAGGGCTCCAGGGACCAAGTCTTAATAACTACCGGAAAACAGGCAGAAAAATCAATACCCTTGTAAATAGAGCAGTGGCCAACAAGAACTCAGCAGCCAGCCTGTGCTGGACAGTGCTGACCTACCCAACTCTGTCCATATAAGCCAAGGAAGGTGGAGGCTTCTGCACCTTTGCTGCTAAACAGGGCCAGACCCAGCTGGACCTTGGTACTCTCCTTCCACATCCCCTCCCTTTGACTCCATTCCCATTTCCCTGCAATGCGTTACTGAGCCAGAGCAGCATCCCATCCTAAAGATTCCCCTTCTCCCTCACCTCACCATCAGTCCCTGGATGTGCCTAGCCTGTGCCGAGTGACAATGAATGACTCAGTCAACTGGACTACTTTCTCTCTCTCTAATTTGAAACCTTTCCCCCTCTCCTCTCACATCTGCTCATAGATTCCTAAGTTTTTGTTCCAGAAGTCAAAGGGACCTAAAAGACCATGTAAGACCAACCCCGTCATTTTTAAGGAGGAGGAAATGGAGAGGGGAAGTGACTTACCCAAGGTCTCACAGGCAGTAAGTGGAAGAGATGGGATTTGAACCGCTTGACAGTTCTAACTCCTCAGTATTTCTCCCTTCATCCCCCTGACCCTCCTTTGTACTAGTCTTCATTACCACCCACTCCCACTATTGCAGTTTCCTGTTTAATAGATTATCCTACCTGTTAATCTCTCTGCAGTCTAATGGGGCCAAACTAACCTCTCTAACACATGGATTGGGTTATATTTCACCTCTGCTCAAAACCCTCAACTCAGTTGCTTCCTGGATAAAATTCATATTCCTCTGCCTGGCATTCAGTGCTCTCCAGAACATGACATCACCTTGACTTTCCAACTTTGTCTCATATTGCACACACACAGTATGCTTTGAGCCACCAACCCTCTCCTCTCTTCCTCTCTCTCCCTCTCTCTCTCTCTCTCTCTCTCTCTCTCTCTCTCTCTCTCTCTCTCTCTCTCTCTCTCTCCCACACACACACACACACACACACACACACACACACCACTATTCCCTGTGTCTGAAATGCCTTGTCTGTTGAAAATCCAATACTCAAAGACTAGCTCTTCCATGGAGCCTATCCTGGTTGCTAACATCCTCCCTATTTGACCTCATGGAGTGCTTTGTTTCCGCCTCTCTAAAGACTTGGTATTTTGTACATAGCTACTTGTATTTGGTGTCTTAACCTCCTACGAGACCATAAGCTCTGCAAGGGAAGGAAGCCTGTCTTTTCTAAACCTTCTGTCTCAGTGCCTCATGTGCTCTGCACACAATTCAGTAGGTACTTAGTGAATGTCCAGTGAATGAATAAACAAATGAAAGAGGAGTCGGCCAATAAGCATTCAGTAAGTGCCTACTTTGTGTCAGGTGCCATGCTAACCCCTGGAGATACAAAGAAAGGCCGCAGACAGATCCCAAGGGGTCACAGCCTAACTCAGGAGATGATATGAAGACAACTCCGTACAAACAAGGTGTTTTCAGGATAAATTGGAGATTATCAATAGAATGAAGGAGAATCAGGGAAGGTTTCTCATTTTATTGTTCAGTTGTTTCAATCGTGTCTGACTCTCTGTGACCCCATATGAGGTTTTCTTGGCAAAGATACTGTAGTGGTTTACCATTTCCTTCATTTTACAGATGAGGAAACTGAGGCAAAGAGGGTTAAGTGACTTGCCCAGGGTCACACAGCTAGTAAGTGTCAAGTGTCTGAGGCCATGCTTTAAGATTGCTAAAGCACTTTGCTTTATAAATACTATTCTCACTACAACTCTGGGAGATAGGTACTATTACTATGCTCATTTTACAGATGATAAAGTTAAAGTGACTTGACCAAGGTCACAGAGCTAGGAAGTGTCTGGGGCTGAATTTGAACTCAGTTCTTCCCAACTCCAGGTCCAGCGCTCTATCCACAGTGCCACCTAGCTGCCTGCCTGGATCATAGGATCATAGATGTAGAACTGGAAGGGTAGAGGTCGCCTAGGGGTCCATCCTCCTCCTTTTCACAAATGAGGCGCTGGGGCCCAGAGGAGACTCCCCAGTTCCACAGCCATAGGAAACACCTGATTGATGCTTGATGGACGGGAAAGGGCGTGAGGGGAGGCGGGGCTCAGGTCAGGCTCATCGCCACGCCTCCTTCTTTTCCCGGCAGGGACGATGCGGCCGGTCCGAAGGAACTTCTATGACCCGTCCTCGGCACCTGGGAAGGGCATCGTGTGGGAGTGGGAGAACGACGGTGGCTCCTGGACACCGTATGACATGGACATCTGCATCACCATCCAGAATGCCTATGAGAAGCAGCATCCGTGGCTGGACCTTTCTTCACTGGGCTTTGGCTACGTGATTTATTTCAACAGCATGTCTCAGATGAACCGGCAGACCCAGCGGAAGAGGCGGGTGAGGCGGCGCATGGACCTTGCCTACCCACTGACCATTGGTTCCATCCCCAAATCCCAGTCCTGGCCAGTGGGCGCCAACTCGGGCCAGCCGTGTTCTTGCCAGCAGTGCCTGTTAGTCAACAGTACCCGGGCTGCTTCTAATGCCATCCTTGCCTCACAGCGAAGGAAGATGTACCAGGCCTCGGGCAATGGCACGGGGACAGGCACGTTGCCCGTGCGCCAGAGTAACACCTTCAACGGGACCGGGACTACACTGTGGGCTGGGGGCACTGGCCCCCCGGGAGGGGCAGCCAAGGGGGAGCCCGGGCGGTCACCTGGTGGGGCACCAGGGGGCAACTTTTCTCGGAGCCAGAGTGCTCCTGGTGGTGCCCAGCTCCCCAGACAAAACAATCTGAACCGGCCGGGAACTCAGCGTGTGGCCGTCCTGAGTACCAGGGCATCTATTCCACCTGGGTAAGATGGGATGTCTCCGAGGAGTCTAGGGTGGGAGGAACGGAGGAGGGGAACACATCTGCCATCCCAGGGTCATCTCTGAAGTGCTCTGGGGGGGAGACCAACCTGGCACAAGTGCAGGGGCTTTAGACCAAAGGACCCTAGAAGCCAGTAGTCCAACTCCATCATCATATAGGTGAAGAAATTGAGGCCTAGGGCAGTCCAAGGTCATGCGCCTAGTAAATGTCTGAGGCGGAATTTGGACCCAACCTAGAACTGGAAAGTATCTCGGAGGTCCTATAGACCAACCCCCTAATTTTATCAATTGAGGAAACTGATACCAAAGAGATTATGTGACGTCCATGTGAAGGGATGGTGGAAAGAAGTTTCGTGGGATTTAGAACTTGAGGAGAACCTTAGAAAGCATCTTGCACAATTATGAGGATAAGCTGAGGTCCAGGGAGGTCATAGGGGTCGTAGGTCTAGAATGGGAAAAGACCTTAGAAAGATCTTTTCCCATAACTTTTACAGATGAGGAAACTGAGCTCTAGGAAATTACATGATTTGCCCAAGGTGTCTCTCTCTTGCTTTCTCTCTCTTTCCCTCTCTCTCTCTCCTCCCTCCTCTCTCTCCCTCTCTCCCTCTCCTTCTCTCTCTCTCCTGTCTCTCCTCTCTCTCTCCCTCTTCTCTCTCTTTCTCTCTCTCCTGTCCTCTCTCCTCCTCCTCTCTCTCTCTCTCTCTCTCTCTCTCTCTCTCTCTCTCTCTCTCTCTCTCTCTTTCTCTATCTCTCTATCTCTCCTCTTTCTGTCTCTCTCCTCCCTTTGTCTCCCTCTCTGTCTGTCTCTGTATCTTTCTCTCTGTCTGTGTTTCTCTCCCCCCTCCCTTTCTCTGTCTGTCTGTCTCTCTCAGACACACACAAACACAAAAAGTAGCACAGCAGGGAGTTAAATTCCCCCTCAATTCACAGATGAGGAAACTGAGGCTCAGGAGAGGAGGGAGTTGCCCAAGATGATCCAGCTAGTAATCATCACAGACAGGATCTGAGCCACCTCCCTTTGACTGAAGGATGAAGCTCTCTTTTTACTGTACCATCATGCCTCTGGGGAGAGCCACATCTTGGAAAATGTGAGGCAGGAGTTGTCTTTCAGCTGGGGGGCAATCAGGGAAGGCTGTGTGGTGGAGGTGATGTCAAAGCTGAGCAGGACTCTGGGAGCATAAAGGGATAGACTCGAATTACTTTTAGACCTCCTTCAGAAATGTCTGCATTGGATGCCAAGCTTAGGAGATGTGTCCAGTTCCAATGAGTGGATGAAAGAGAATAAGAACAAAGACAGAAACTCTTGCCCCCCCCCTCCCTTGGCCAATCTGATGGTTTAGTCAGCGTGGTCCTCTGATCACCGACATCAGCCAGCCTGTCCTCTGAGTCTTCCTCAAAGCCTGGTGGTCCCTACCACCACTAGCACTCAGCTGGCACAGCCTTAAGAGCCCAGGGTCACTCCTACTATTAGGTATCAGAAGAGAACTTCAGTGAAAGCCACACTATTCTCTGTGGTAATAACTATGAGCAGCAAGGTGATACAGTGGATAGAGAGCTGAGAGGCTCGAGCCTCTGCCTTTAACACATACTAGCTGTGTAACCCTGGGCAAGTCACTTAAGCTCCCAGTGACCTAGACAATTCACCAAGTCTAAGTCACAGAGGAAGCGCCAACCTCCATTGGTGGAGGGAATTTCCTCATCCAGGAATCTCCCATACCAATGAAATCATAGGGCCAATATCTATCCCCTAAAAATAATCCTAATGGCTTCGATTTCTGTCCTATCTTATAGAATCTAGAGAGACCTTTAGGACCAGCCCCTCTGGGTGCAGCCAGAGAAATCCAAGTCCCCAGGGCTTGGTTAAGACAGAGTGGGGTGAAGGACCTCCACAGGGTTGTCAGTGCCCAAAGCCCAGATAAAGAAGGAGGGGGCAGGTTGGAGCAGCTTGTGCTCCAGCTGCCGTCAGTTAGCAAGCCAGGCTCCCCAGGGATCTCGAGCTTCGCCAGCCAAAGCCAGTCTCATTAATCACTGTCCCTGGCAGGAAAAGGGAGAGAAGAAAAGAGAGAAACAGGAGGAGGAGGAGGAAGACACAGAGGTTGAGAGGAAAGAGGGTAGAGGCAGAGGAAGGGAAAGTAACATCTTTGGGCAACCACACTGACAGTGTGTGTCCTTTTTCTCACAACAGCTTTGTGACGTAAACAGATAAGGGGGGGGGGGAAGGGAAATAGAGAGAGGGAAATGAGTGGTAGATATCTAGAGAAATAGATGCTAGAGATAGAGATAGAAATAGATGATAAAGAACTAAAAATATGATTGCTATGTGACTGATAGATTTAGAAATAGATGATAGAAATATATAGAGAGAAATTGAGGATATAGAGAGAGAAACTGTGAAATATAGAGATAGAAGTAGAGGATAGATAAATGGTAGAGATAGAAATAGTTGATAGATGACCAAGAGACAGAACTAGATGATTGATAGATTATTGGGGGCAGCTAGATGGACCAGTGGATAGAACACCAACCTTGGAATCAAAAGGATCAGAGTTCAAATCCATCTCCAACACTTACCGGCTGTGTGACCCTGGACAAGTCACTTAACCCTGATTGCCTCCAAAAAAGAAGAAAAAAAGAACATAGATTATTGATAGAGATAGAAATAAATGACAGCTAGAGAGAGAGAGAGATTGATAGAGATAGAAATAGATGATAGCTAGTTAGAATGCTAAGGGCTTACTATGTCCTAGGCACTGCAACAAATATTGCGAATACAAATAAAAGCAAGACAGTCCCTGCCCTCAAGGAGCTTACATTCTAATAGGGGAAGCTGATTAGGGAGAGAAAGCAAATCATAGCTTTCCCCACATCTCCCCACAGGTGAGATAATTGAGGTGAGATAACAGAAAGGACATGCCCAAGGTCACACAAGTGAGAAGCTGGGGACCTGAACCCAGGCCAAGTCCAATGCATGGAGGACCCTGAAAGTCAGATAGAGATGATGATGATGATGGTGATGGTGGTGACGATGATGATGATTGATGGTGATGGTGATGGTGATGATGGTGATGGTGATGATATCTGTCATTTATATAGCCCTTTAAGGTTTGCAAAGCCCTTCACATATGCTAACTTTTGATTCTCACAATGACCCTGGGAGGTAGGTGATATTATTATCCCCATTTGGCAGAGGAGGAAACTGAGGCTGAGGGCAGTTAAATAAGGAAGTTGCCCAGGGTCACACAACTGGTAAGACTGGAGCATTCTGGTCTTCCTGCCTCCACGTCCAGCTCTCTAGTTGGATCAGATGTGGTAGACAAAAGGGAGCCTTTGTAGGGTCTGGAGCAGGGGAATGGTATGATGAGTCCCCAGGTATTAAGCACCTTATGTGCCAGGCACTGAGGATGCAAAGACTGAAGTGAATCCCTGCCTTCAAGGAGTTTACATTATACAGTGGGAGACTCCCCATACAGAGTATGCATATAATTATATACAACATAAGTATATAAAATATGTAAAATAAAATACAAAGTGATGGTAGAGGCCACTAGGAGGTGGGGTAGGGGTAGGAAACGGGAAGAGATAGTGCTTGAGCTGAGGAGCAGAATAAGAAAGAAACTAGTGTGAGAAAGAAAGAAAGAGAAAGAAAGAAAGAGAAAGAAAGAAAGAAAGAAAGAAAGAAAGAAAGAAAGAAAGAAAGAAAGAAAGAAAGAAAGAAAGAAAGAAAGAAAGAAAGAAAGAAAGAAAGAAAGAAAGAAAGAAAGAAAGAAAGAAAGAAAGAAAGAAAGAAAGAAAGAAACTGGTGAAAGAAGCCAGAGTCAAACAATGCCTGCGACCTGGGCTGCCATCTACTCCTACTCCTACGCAAAAGTAATCCCCAATATAACACAGCCAAGAAGAGATCCTTTAGCCTCTGTTTGAAGGCCTCCAGGGAGGGAAGGCCACAGCTAACTAGGGCAGCCCGTTCCACTTTGGGACAGATGGCTCTCAGTCTATGAGGAAGCTTTTCCTGACAAAATCCACCCATTTCTCCTGGTTTGTACCTTTGGGGACAAAGCAGAAGACAACTTATCCCTTTTCCAGGGGACAATCCTTTCAGTCCTTGGATGAAGAAGGCGCTAATGTTCCCCTTCTCACCTCCAAGCTAAACATCCCCAGTGTCTTCAGCTGATCCTTCTATGCCATAAGTGAAGGGCTCTTCACCTTGGTCACTCTCTGCCCAACTTATGAGTCATCTTCCTAAAATTCATGAAGAAGCTAGGTAGCCTATTGAATAGAGTGCTAGATCTGGAGTGAAGAAGACCTGAGTTCAAATCCAGCCTCAGATACTTCCTAGTGAGACCTTGTGTAAGTTACTTAACTTTTGACTGCCTTAGTATCCTCATCTCTAAAATGGGTATGATGATAGTACCTGGCACCTGGAGAGCTCAAATGAGATCATAATTGTAAAGTGCTGTGCAAACTTTATGCTAGCTCTTATGTGTTGCCCAGGACCAAACTTCTTTCCTGCTATGTTATCTTCTAGATAGAGGAATAGATAGAGAAAACCCTCTCCACGGCCTTGCAATCACCACTGACCTAGGGAGGAACCCAGGTATCCCTGATCTTATACTCTCTACTCCCTCTTGGCCTCTCCAAGCTTTACTCTAACCTGCGGAGAGGTAGGTCCTGGAGCAATCTATTAATTGATTTTACAGATAAAGAAACCAAGGCAATCAGATATTAAGTGACTTTCCCAGGATCGTACAATTAGTAAAATCAAAGATCTCCATGAGATCTTTCTGCCATGGCCAGGCATGGTCCCTGAGAGCTATGTGTGTGGGGCAGGGGGAGTGTGTCATCCTACAGGTGGCAGGAAGTTTGCCAGTCCCCTCCCCCAGAACGTGTGTCTCCCTTATTCTCCCTTTCAGACCCAAAGGTCTAGGACAGAGGAAGCAATGAAGAATGCTGCTGTGTGTGATGGTGGGAGTGGAGGGGTTCCATAAGC